TGTGCAGCTCTTGGGGTGTATGTGCAGCTCATAAGGTGTATATACAGCTGACGGGGTGTATGTGCACCTTTAGGTGGCGTATGCACACCTACTAAGAGGTATATACACCCCATGAGGTGTATATACACCCCATGAGCTGCGTATACACCCCATGAGCTGCGCATACACCCCGTGAGCTGCGCATACACCCCGTGAGCTGCACATACACCCCATGAGGTGTACATGAGGTGTACATACACCCCATGAGGTGTACATACACCCCGTGAGCTGCGCATACACCCCGTGAGCTGCGTATACACCGCATGAGCTGCGCATACACCCCATGAGCTGCGTATACACCGCATGAGCTGCACATACACCTGAATGTTTTTGTCTCACTGTCTGTTTCCGATTTCTTTTAAACTGAATTTTCGTAATTTAGAAATAGCAGCAGACGCCCCGTCTTTTTCTCCCCATAACAAATCAGAAGAACCACTTGCTGCTGCTGCTGCTGCTGCTGCAGCAGCAGCAGCTGCTGTTGCTGCTGCTGCTGATGACATTTGGATCACGTAGCTTGATACCTGCAGCAGCAGCAGCAGCAGCAGCAGCACGGGGGAGGGGGGGTATTTGCCTCGGTGTTTATTTTTTTTCTTTTGTTTGTTTGTGTGTTGGTTGGTTTGTTCTTCTTTTGTATATTTTTTTGTTTATTATTTTTCTGTTTGTTTGCTTTTGTACTTTTGTGTTTTTTTTCTCTTTTTTTGCTGTTTTGTGTATTTCTTTGTTTTGTTTGTATATCTACGTTACTGCTTCGTTTCTTTTTTGTTTATTTATTTTTCTTATCTGTAATACTATGTAAATGTTTCTATTTATTTATTTATTTATTTATTATTTATTTATTTTATTTATTTATTTATTTTTTTTTCTGTGTTGCTTCTGCTGCTGTTTGCTTGAGCGCCCACCCGGTGGTGTTGCTGCTGCTCGTCTTGTGTCTATGATGCAAATAAAAGAAAAAAAGAAAATAAATAAATTAAAAAGAATTATATCTAATTAAAATAAAAGAAAATAAAGAAAAAACAATTAAAAAGGAGTTATAAGCAACCAACCAGCAGAACGAACCAACGGCTATATGAGGTGCACGGATCGGTAAGCAGGCGATCTTGCAATTAAAATAAATAGAAAATGAAAAAAAAATGTAAAACTTTATTTTATTTTATTTATTTATTTATAAAATTCTTTTATTTCAGGTTTTTATTCATATTTTTAAGCCTAATACACCCCCCTGTTGCAGCTGCACACAGCGGTGGTGGTTGGGGGTGGTGGTGATCTGCGCCTGCACGAGAAAGCAGCAGTTTATATAAAAATTTTATTTTTTTTTTATTTTTTTTTCTTTTTTTCTTTTTTAATTTAATATTTATAAATATTTACAAAAAAATTAACAAAAATAACCTATTATATACACCGTTTGCTGCCGCTGCTGCGAGAGGGTCCCCTGCAGTGTACGTACACCTGAAATACCTACACAGTATTTAACTCTTTGTTTCTGTTTTTTTTTTCTTTTTATTATTTTTTATTTATATTTCAACTAAATAAGAAACAGGTCATTAATAAACACAATACGAACAGAAGGAAATAATAAAATGCAAATATAAAACAAACACAAAACTATAAAACGTAAAACACAAAAAAAAAAA